GGTACAAAGAGAAGGCAGAGGCCAAGGAGGAGGGAGAGAGACCAGGAGCCTGGTCTTTCAGCTGCAGAGATTAGCTCAGGTTCTCCTGCAATCTCATCCCTAGAGCTCCTGCTGTTATGACCTAGAGCTGTAGTCCTGACCTTTCCTTGACCTCCACATGACTTCCTCTTCTTGCAATGCTCCATATATAGAGAGGCAGGTGGGAAGGAGAAATAGGCTTGGCTGTGCTACATCTAGACAATGGCCCTTTGCAAGACAGTTAGACACTCCCCAGTAGAAATACTACTTCAGATCACATAGAAGCAGGGGTGTGCTTAAAGACTGTGCTGTCCATCACTCTTCAAACCTATGGAAGGTGATTGGACTGTAAAAATTCCTGTCACAGCTTTGAACAGCTGAATTTTCTACTGCTTAACATATTTACCAGGTCAGTGCCCCTTAGTCTAACAGAAAGCTGACTAAATGTTTCAGTTGTAGATTAGGATGTACATTGCAGGGGAAAAAATGTGCAGTGCTGATATTACACCAGTTTTATCACTGGCTTTGTCTTACCAGTTGTGGCACAGACAGAAGTTGCCAAGAGTACTTAATTCTGTCATTTTCTCTTGATCCAGACCCATGCAGTGAAGAAGGGAGAAGGGTGATGGCTGCACAACAGAAGTACTCTTGAATCCTAAGAAGTGCAGACTCATCCTCCTGTCTCGTGGATTGACTTTCATGGTCAGAGATAGGTACAAGTGCTGCACCTCCATTAAAATGCATCTCTAAGCAAAATACATTCTACAGCATAAATAATTAAACACTATAAACAAATGACAACTATAACAGCCTAATAGCAAAAGATGTAGGATACTTGTACTGCATTAAAATAGATTAGGTCTGAAGTGACTGAATTATACTTTGTCAGGAAGAGACATCAATATTGTGAGGCAGACTAGCCAATACAGATACCACAGACTCAATTCTTCTGCCAACGACTGTTCTTAGACTGTCTGAAGTAGTGTGGGGAGTAGAGAAAATTACATTGAGGACACTCCTAAGCTGCTCTCAAAATTTGTCTGTACCTTCTGCAGCATAACTTGCTGATAATTCACACTGATGGACATTATTAGAGAGGCTTTTAGTGTTGTCTTACATCCTTGAGGTGTTATTCCTTGGAAGGAGCTTGCTAGAGGTTGTTTTCCATCACTCCAGTCACATTTCTCCACATTAAAACACTTTGGTCTGTAGAAGTGGCACTGACTTGTGCAGGCTCTGTAAGACTGAAGCAGTTTCATGAATGCAAAAGCACTTTCAGCCTGTGAGTGAGGTGGAAGAAGGTTTTTTACAGAGAGAGTAGTCAGACATAGGAATGTGCTGCCCGGGGAGATGGTGGATTCACCATCCCTGGAGGTTTTCAAGATGAGACTGGATGTGGCACTTAGTGCCATGGTCTAGTAATGACAGTAGGGTTGGACTCAATGATCCTTGAGGTCTCTTCCAACCTGGTTGATTCTATGACTCTATGATTCCCAAAGCTCCCAGTCAATCTCTGATCTGTTATTGATAAGCTCCCATTGACTTAATGCTGCACCACGTTTGGAACTTGGTAACGTCTCAGACTGGCCGTGCACACCCCTTTGTCTGGAGGCCAAATTTGAGATGTGCTGCAAGAAGAGGGGAGAAGGCACTGATGGAAAAGAAAGATGATAAGATAATGGGTACAATAAAACAAGGTTTAACTAAATTCCTTTGTGACATATAGTTCTGTGAGCAGGATTTTAAAAATATTTTCACTGAAGCAAGATGTGCGTAGTATCTTTTCTGCTTTTGCAGCTGCCTTGGGCGAGTGAGTGGCCCTGAAGCTCAGCTGTCCTGCAGCCCCTGTGAGCAGGAGAGCCAGGCTGGCCGCTCGCCTTGGCCCTCTTGGTCTCTGGAGCGTTTTGGGTGCCACCGTGTGGTGCATCTGTGCCAGAATTTCTGCTGTTCGTTGCAGTCATTTAAATCCGCACAGGTCACCGTCTGCAACCTGAAGGATTCAGCCCCCCGGTGATATCGCGTTATTAATTAATTAGGCACTAATCTTAGGTTTGCGTTCTCTTCTCCAAAATATCTAGTGCAGGTGGTGCAATTTCCTTTGCTTCTTGCTGTGTGATCTCCTCACATCGTCACAGCTGAAGAGCTGAGGATCATTCTTGGTGGATTGCTGCAGTTCAGTTCATTCACATGACTGGGCTGACGTGAAGAAGGATGTCGTGTCCTTTTTGTGTGTTTGGTTTATTAAAACTGTGATGGGAACCATCACTACAGGGATATTGTAAAGTCCCAATCTATCAGTCTGAAGAAAAAGGAAAGAGGATTCTTGCACCCAAAACATCAATTGTCTGGAGGCAACAGTTCAGAGGAGCATTAGATACCAAGATCTGCTGCACTTCTAACCTAATAATCAGAGCTGCTTAGCTAATTGTCTTACCGCTAATTTAATGACAGTGAAGTCAACATTGCCCTTATTTTATGCTCATCAAAACATCACCAAGTGTTATTATTTATGTATCTTTGTTCTTTTAGTTTTACACCATTAATTTTTTTCCCCTCTGGTGAGAAGCAACAGTTAGGGGATTTGTATTTCTATACATGACAAGCCAAGATTCACAGGGGGAGGGAGCACTCCACTGGCTGAGAAACAGACAACAGTGAAGGTATGGAATCTTTTCAGGACTGATGTTGATAAAAATCACAGGAAAATAAATAAGGATTTAAAAACTTAGTTCCAAGCTTCTATGATTCAGATAATTGGAGAGATAAAGGGGTTGGTACTTGTGGAACAGAAAGGAAGTGTTGGCAAGAAGGAAGGTGATGATATAATTAACCCCTAGGAGATACAGAGACATAATTATTGGTTGTGGAGTAAGTCCTGGAAGTCATTACTTGCCATAAACCAAATCTCTCTCCTGGTTCGATAACGTTTAGTATGCAGTAATTGTGTTATTTTCTCAAGCTCAGGATCAGGACTTAAGAGGTCACAGATAAAGTGGCTGTTTTGTAAGAAATCATCTCCTTTATTCATTTTCTGTAGGAGCACACACTGGTGAACAAGTTTGACGTTTTCCCCTATGATTTATACAAAAGCATTCAAAATTATATCATAGACCACAGCTAATACACATTACTCCATGTTTTTATTCTGATAAAGGCATTCTTCATGGGTTCATGTCAGCAAGTTCTGCATTCATGCTCTTGCTGTCTGGCTCCAGCCTGTGCTGGTGGCCTGAGGCTTCCTGCTGCTGCTGGATGTCATGAAATTATTGAGATTATCTGAAAGCTCAGAGCTCTGAATATATTTTTTCGGCAGCATAATTCAGGTAGCTGACTGGATTGTAGAAAGATACAACAATATTTGCTTTGATAGGCATCCTTTGCCCTAATTAACTGCAGAACACCACAGCTCTTGACGTCAATCCTACAAGAAAAGCACTTAAGTATTATTGTTCCCATTTTAAGAGGAACTGGGAAATTTAATAAGTAACTTCAAGGGTATATAAAGCCCTAAAAGAACTAGGGATAGAGAGGTTCTTTGTCCTTCTCTTTAAGCAAAAGAACATTCATTCTCCAACTGTATACCATGGAAAAAATTTGAATTGTTTCAGATGATTTCTCCAGAAAGTTGTCATCTATCCATACTCATGTGTAACCTTATAAAACTTGCTAATACACAGATGAAGGCAAAATTTGAGGGAGAGACAGATTTGCCAGTTTTTACTATTCCCCAGGTTCCTTAGGGGATTACAGAAATTACTAACTCATCGATCAAAAGCAAAGTATACAAACAATCTAAGGGAAAAATGGCATAGAAGTGCATGACAATGTTCTGGACTCACCTTTAGCAGGAGATCCACAAGGGTCATGTATTATATGGCAATGAATGAAGGGCCTGTTACTGTCCAGTAAAGTTGGAAAGTGAACAGTGGAAGAAACAGTAACAAATAGAAACATTTTCCTGCCTTGCTATCTCCATTTGCCTG